CAGTAAGTCTTTACCGCTACAACAAAATTTTCAATTTCTTTATGAATATTGGCAGAATATATTTAGATATTTATAATTATTACGATGATGAGCTGAAAATCTAATATCTGCTATGACTATCCAAGTTTCTTTGGAAATTGTAATACTGTCTACTATTAAATACTGACTAGCGATTTTCCATTTCTATTTTCTGTATTATTCTTATTTGAAGTGTCACATAAATATTCTACTTCATAATTTGTCTTTGTCTGTACCGCTGGAAGCGTATGTGGTCAGCCAAACCAGGTAAATAGAGCACAAGTGAATGTAATTGGCAAATTGGTCATAACATATGTCTCTAAACACCTACCGACGTAGCTCGTTCATATTTTGATTGAACTTTATGTACCGATTCTAATGCCATTAGCCTAGGAATATGAGCAATATTTGGCATTTGTAGTACCTTTACCTAGGTAATATTATTCCACTCTGTCGATTTCCAAACAAACCTTGTAGGGAGCAAAAACTTTAGTGCATTCACAACACTCGATGATTTACGTATTTTGCAATAACTTAGCGAAGTTATTTAACGTATAGCGAATTGCAAAACTGGTGAATGTCACTTTGCATGATGTATGTCCGAAATGATAGGAAAGGCATTACTGCCGCCAGTGGTGTACCGATAGAGCGGATGGTCCCATTCCACTGTGGTAACGGTACCAACCGCCGCGCTCGCAAATAACTATGCACCCACCACTAAGTTCCGGTGATCAATTTATATTTGTTGTTTTATACTGATAATTACTAACCAACAGTAAAATGTGAACGATCATTAAAATGTTTCGTCTCATTGCCGGCAATTAGGAAAAATATTTAAGCTTATCTCAAATTCCGTTTATAACTTTTAAGCGAAGAAATATTAAACAAGCATTTTGGTAAATTTTGGAAGATTAGGTTCCGTACTTACTTTCAAGCGGTCTTAATTGTAATGGATGGCATCATTGGCAGCCATTGATTGACTCTGGTTCTTAGAAAATGTTAAAACTAATATTTGTAGTTTCACGTAAATAGCGGTCGGTAAGAACTTGGCCGAGCGACTCGTCAGCAATTTAAAATGAAATTCCAACATTTCATCATAAACTCTTTCACTATTGGAATAGAGATGAAAATCCCTAAATCCAGCATAAAATTTATAGCGATTGACGATGAGGCGATGTCCATTTAAGTCCGTTGATTTGTGTTCTCACGCCTTAAAAGTAAAGTTACTTCCAGGATTCTAAGGTTGCATCCGTTATATCTATTCATCATGGTGTGGGATTAATATTCCCTTGCTGTCATCTAGTAGATAATTGTGATCTCTAACAGCTGAAGTTAGTAGAATTTAGTTGAAAAAAGCCGGTGTGGCTATAAGCAGTGTGTGCGAAGCGTGCGACCGCAACATTCCCAGTGCCTCAAACGATGCCACTTGTGGCGATCGGCGACAGACGCCCGTTTATGGCGAGGACGATCGCGAAGGAATGTGGTCTGCTCTTCCACAGCCTGTGACACATGTCAGGAGTGAACAGAGTAGCGGATTACCAAGAGGAAAACGTGTCATCGCCTTGAAGAACACAGGAAAGGCAAACACAATGTACGTAAAAGGTAAGTCGGCTCTGACCATACCTTTGGTAAATACTGCTGTGTATCATAACCAAAAAACCAGTCAGCTTTATTTAAGAATGATGATCACGTCGCAAGAAGTTAAGGAAACGAGCCTGAGTGATTACCACAAGTAAGCTTCTTGCGAAGAAAATAAAGAAATCGTTGCTTTTCTAATAAATCACTTGCAAGGAAATATGTTGCAAATCTTCTATTTTTGTTTTATATTTTCGAATAGAATGGAATACACAGTGCAATGTGCATTGCTACCTCTCATCACTTACACCAAAATACAAAATGACTCGACAACCGCGAGGATGCATGCTTGCCAACTACATACTTAAACGACACTCAAACTTATTTGTTTTAAAGGCTTGCAAAGACTTAGGTATTCATTATGATTGCTTAATAACTACCAAAATATTACATACCGACTAAGAACTTAATTAGTCACGAGTTTCCAATAAATCATGTTGTAAAGTAATGTATTGTATCATTAACAAGTGCATGGAACTAGGAAGTTCTTTGGTATACAAGCCTTGTACGGGTCAATGCACAAAGGTGCCGACGAACGACCATCTAAGAGTGTATCAGGCCCACACAGTGCCCGCCGGCTAACGGTGCCACGCTCAAATATTTTACCATTACACTGAGCATGAGCCTAGTCAGCTAACTGTGAATAAACACGAGTACACGCTGTACATAAACTTTAAAAACATGTAAATTGTATGTACAGACGTGATGGTCATCAGATATACATATTTAGTTTGGTGAGCAACGGCCGAGGCCGGTTGCGGCTTTTCAGGCTCGCTCAAAGAAGTGCATACGAACTGCTTGCCTTCGTGAGCCTGTACAATGTGGACACTGATGCGGGTAACGTCGAACCCTGTAGATTGAAACGTCGATACGATACGTGAACCCACTTCAATAAATCTACCCGTTTATCATAAACCTGCTCTCCTCAAGCTTGTGGTTTGCAAGACCATGTATTCATCAAACAAACTTCGCGAGTAATAACTTTTCCAGCTCATAAACACTGTTACGTGGTTGTTTACGTATTGTGTTAAATAGTAACGGGTTCAGATTGAGCGGCGCGTGCTGAAATGCGGCCAATCGATTTGGAACGTATTTAGCGCGAACAAACATAGGCCTGGGTAGGACACGGTAGCAAGTTGGCACTTCTATGCAATTTCAAACAGAAATAATTGCTGTTCTGCCTACGACGTTGAGATCTGTTGAATCATCCGTCCATTTCAAAAGAGCTTTCGTCGATCTATCAGTCAGTGGTCGAGCGCCATCGTGACTCTCTTATTGCTAACATGCTAAGAACTTAGGATCCAAAAAGTATCTTTACTCAGCCAGACATACTATTACATTGGCTGTGATCGGCAAGAAGATGGATAAAACCGTGCACATTCATACTTTTTTTTATGAATTAAAAGTTAGTCTTATCCACATTACTAGGTACTCATTACTAGCCGGATAGTCACTTCCGTAACATGTGTTGTACACGCATAGATGAATAGAGTACGATGATTTCATTCTAACGTCAGAATTATCGTGAATTGGTCGCCTCATTGTTTGAACAGAAACTCCACCCACAGTACAACCCCACCCGATTGTAATCGGTTATCGATCTACATTGGTTCGTTATGTAAATTGTGTAAACTTTTCTTTCAGCAGACAATGACCGATATTTTACTAATCCCAAAATATATTATTTTCGAGTTCATAAACACTTAGAAGATTATCTAGGTTGAATCTCTTTTCTGAAGATATTTTCAATGGACATTTGTGGACTTTGAACTTGAATGCAATAAGATGAGCTAAGAATCGTCGCCAGTCACGTTGCAGTCCCGTGGTATCAATCTTTTATTGAATAGACTGCACTTGTTATGTGTGTAAATGACAGCAATTTATTTCCCGTCGTCTCAAGCGCTCAGCCAGTGCCGGAGCACCGCTTTGGAGGTCTGCGACATGTTCATTGTACACTCATACATCATACTCAATGTGTTTCGCTTTTTGCAAAATTTATGTCACATCATTTTCTGTACGTATTTTGCAACAAAAACTATTGCTTATTATTAAATAGCCAGTTAGTGTCATATCTACATATTGGCAAATGATGCCGTTTTCTGTTTCGAGTGTGTGTGCTCTAAACTATCTAAATTTAGCAAAGTATTCAATAAATTTTTGATTAATGGAAGTTTATTAGGTATGGTCGGTGTAATAATCTCTCATTGAAACTCTTGAACCTGTACTTATTGGCTGGGTTATAAGTGTGTAACAGCTAAAGAACGCAGTTACATAGCACATGCAATAAAACGTGCGGTCCGATTGTTTACGCTAAGCAATGGCAGTGTTTCAATTTCCTTCCAAGAACTATTTCTATTAAGTTTTCCTCATTATTGTTCCGCATACCTGTAATTGGTGCACAGAAACCTTATCAAAAACCAATATAATTTCTGATAATCATTGCTCATTGTTGGCAACAACACAATGCGTCCATTTCTGTATAAACGATAACAATGCTAGAACAATAGGGATGTTATCAACACTATTGCAAAGTGTCGATGCGAGCGTTGACCGCTGAGTAACACTTGTTGCGATAACCCTGCTTTGTCTGCGTTATTTATGCTCTCCCTGGTGGTAAACATCCGTGCGTCATCCCCAGTGGTCTCTGATCTACAAATAAATAAACATGTGGCCTCTTCCAGCTTCGTTTCGCGGCATACGAGCAACTTAATAATATATTTTTATATTTTCAGCAAAAAATCGCATCAATCGATACAATACGATAGCGGCTGCGGCCCTAGTTTGTGTATGACAAGAAATCACCGGTATCGATAACTCTTTTATTTTTAACAGCAAATGTTTATCAACATTGAAAGGTTTCTCTTTATATTCAAGAATTATGCAAAGCGTCAGTGTGAAACGTGATTGTCAGGTTTGTAATGGTACAACGAGACATCTCATTAGCAAGGATATTCATTTGCATCTTTCGTGAATGTTTAAGACAATGGCTGGTGTGCTGGTCGTGACTCGGCCGCTTATGACATGCAGAGTGTCAAAGAGGAGCATATGGATCGGCTCAGGACACTCCACCACTGTAAACACTGGATGTGCAGCAAGTCATTTGCAAAACAAAGACCGCAGAACGCGGCCGAAATAAAAATATTTACGCAGCCACTGCTGACTCAAGCAACGCTTTGTTCGGGTGGAGGAATAACCTTTTTGTAAGAAAATAAATTAATGTCAAATCACAAAAACAACAACGACTTGATTATAAACCGGTGCATTTTACCAAAATTGGATAAAAGGTAAAAAGGACGATGGGGAAGGTGGGATTTGTTACTCTGGCTGGTAATTTAAATATTTTTTACCTTTTGTATACAAAGTAATGCCCAACTGGTGATATGAAGACCTTATGATATAAAAAGGAAATTGGATATTGGAAGGTCACAGTGAGGTATTTAAAAACTCAGCACTATAACTTGAGGAAAAATGCAATAAAGACTTGCGTAAGTATGTATTACTAACGAACAGTATCAATTTACATTATTTACAATGAGCGGCGTCGGCACGCGAAGGCGACACGGGTCCCACCGGACGTGAGACATTAATATAATGAAATAACGACAATTTGCATGGAATAAGTTGCGGCCGTCCGTGCACCCGCGGCCTTATTCCATGACTGCTCTCAATGACTGGCCCAAGAGCTATTTGACTCATGCTCAATGAACATGAATCTTAATTGAAGTGAACTGGCAATGTGAATTGTTGATGAATGTTGGCTTTTGTGAAGCCGTTATACATACAGCATGGAATTTATTTACATTCACGTACAAAAAGGAATGAATGTTTGTTTTCCTTTTTCCATATGACACACATTCACAAGCCGTCAGGACATGTCTGTAATCCGCGGAGGGTAGGCAGAGATTTATGAGCAGTCCGCTTAACGTTCGCGTGTTAGTTCATGCACAAAGTAAATGCAGACGTGTATCACATAGTATTGTGTTGTGACGCGTGACTTGCGGGACACTGAAGTCTTACAAATGCTTAGTGAAGATGCCCCTAACTATCGCATTTTGTTATTTGCTATATGCCTATAATAATGAAATTTTAACTGGACAAGGACTGTTAGGTTGGAAATATTTTGAAGTATTTGGACAGTTAAGGGTAACTTGTCGTGCTGGTCTTTGTTTCCTCAAATTTCCTTAGTATCTAAGGATAATTAAGGTAGCATACATACGTGAGCAAGTAATATCTATTTGCGAAATTATGACTTGCAATAGATTGTGTATTTCCCCAGTGATTAATTTATGCAATCAATACGTGTAGGGGAGAGGGGGGCACCTTTGAACACTTTTTGAATAAAATATTATATTTGTCGTATTGTGCTACATATCAAGGTATTTTATATTTTTATGAATAGGTATGCTATTTGTGCTACAAAATAAAAATTAAATTAACTTGTTTTTATTTATTAAAGTAGCAATATTATTATTTTTAAAAAACCATTTTTTGTTCAAATGTGCCCCTGGCAAGGGGCACATTTGATAACACCGGGGGCACTTTTGAAATACCATGATAACAAGAAAACAATGTAGCTTAAAATATAATCAACACTTTATTTAAGACATACAGATCGTAAATAATTATAATATATTGCCACTAACTTCGTACATTCACTATTACTTAAATAAACTTTATAAAACTATTAACAGCCTGGGGCAGTCTTGAACAAATGTAAGTAACTTATTATTTTAATATTTGAGATCTAGTTACATATTGCTAATCTTTGTCTTTATATTATCTTTATAATCTTAACATTATCTTAAAAACATACCATTTAAAATGGTCTCAGGAAGGCATTAAAAAAATATATCAAACAAAATAAACAATCCAAATCACCTTATTCCCAAACATATAAGTAAATATTCAAAAAAAAAACGAACAACTTCAAAACTTTGGTAATTATACCTAACCTAGTTTAAATTTACTAAAATCAAATTTAAAAGTTAATAGAGCAGCTGTACGAGAAGTTCCTGGAGCAGAGCATGGCTTTGGTAGTTTTTTTACAACATCAGTGATAGGTATGCAGGATTGGTCTTCTTTGTCAGGGAACAAAAATTTAAAACCCAATTTCTTTTTCAAAAAGAAACTAGAAACATATTTTGGTCTTTACGTTTAATAAAAGCTACGAAATATGTTTGTGATTCTTTTTTGGCAGAGTGACATTTTACCAATATATAGTCATTTTCATTTAAACTCTCATTTGTCAAAGATTGAATTGATTCCCTTTCATCAACTAGATAATTAGACTCAGAATTACTTTGACCATCTGTTAAATCCATATCAGAATCATCATGAAAAGATATATTTCCGTCAGATTCTGAGTTTGACTGATATTTTGGCAACGGTTTCTTCTTTTTATACGTCTTGTTCTTGGGCATACATTTTCCTCGTTTTGATAAAGGCAGAATTGAAGGCTTGCGTTTCATCCGATCCAGATAAGCAGCTTCTACTGCGCATTTTTCGGGAGTATCAGTTAAGATTCGTGACGAGCCTTTCTTTCTGCCTTTTCTTCCGGTACGAGGAATCGCTTTAGGAAACGGTCTTATTGCTTCAGGAGTAACTGTTACTTTTTCCCTTATATTTTCAGTGTTCCTGTTTATTTTCGCCAAATTATCAATATTGGCGGCACTTTCGATTACAGATGGTGAATGTGAAGGAGTTTGCTCATGAGCTTTATTAGTATTCTTAGTAGGTGTTTTTGCAGATTTATCGGTTTCATGATTAAGTTCAGGGGGGAGTTGAGATATAAGGCTTATGGTGGGTTTATTACTTTTGTCAATAGCTTTAATTGATGCTATTACAGGTTGATCTACTTCTATATCAGCATCAGTAGCGTCACTGTCGATTGTAGAAGGTGCTGGAGCAACAATTTGAGCATTGTCAGTAGCGTCAGGAGCAGCTGCTATTGTAAGTTCATTTATTTCCAGATCTTCAGCTTGAGTGACATTATCGTTCACATTATGTGGTATAGACGCACCAAACTGTGATAACACCTGTTGAGGTTGATCAGTCTCCACATCTTCAGCTATTACACCACCAATAACTAAATTCTCAGATGCAACTATCAAGGAAACTTGCGAAGGATCAGCCCGATTAGTCACTTCTGAACATTCAAAGTCATCGTCCGTGAATTTGTTTCTGGAAAACGGATATATTCCTGGCGCAGAAAATCCCGATGTGATGTTATTGATAGTATGTGAAGCATTATATGCAGGGGTGACAATACTTGCGAGATCGTGTATAGTTATTGTTTTGCCCGGATGATTAAGCAACCAATCATTTTGCGCGACTGCAAGCTTCGCCTTAAAAGGACTGTTTACTGCAACGTCAAGTGGTTGGAGTTTATGTGTACAATGAGGGGGAAATGTCAATAGTTCTATGCCGTTTTCTCTTGCAAAATTAATAGCATCGATGGTGCAATGACTCTCATGATTGTCAAGGAGTATAAGAATTTTATTTTCTTTGGTGCATCTAGTGGTTTTTTTAATGTGTTGCAGAACTTTCAGAAACAAAGGTCCAGTCATCCAACCGCTAGTAGGACTATTGGCAAACCCGACACTTCCAACTGGAGCTCCAATAAGCATTGTTTCATGAAACCTAGCTCTTGGAAAATAAAAACCGGAGGAATGGTATTTCCAAGAGCATTTACAATACCACACATAGTGATCAATTGACCTCTTTCGGCCGAAACACTTTGTCCAACTTGCTTTTGACCTGTTCTAGCAATAACATTGGGTGCTTGAACAACGGTCATAATACTTGTCTCGTCTAAGTTATAGATGCAGTCTGGAGTATAATTTCCGCGTTGTAACACTCTTTCATAATTATCAAAAAACATCATGACATTATGCTTATTAAAGCTGGTTGATCTGGAAAGACTGGTGTTTTCAGGTTTTCGCAAAGATAATACTGGGTGCCTTTTCATAAAGTTTTTCATCCATTCAATGCCCGCACTCTTGTTATCTAACCATTTTTCAGGACACTTATCTAACGCTGCTGCATATTGATATGCCAATTTTCGACCTTGTAAGTAGGTAAGACCATAATTCATTTTGGACATTTTTAAAAAGTACCTTTCCAGCATAAGTTCCTCATCATTAGTAAAAACTTGATGCACAGTGTGTTTGCTGCTATAATTTATATTTTTTGGCATTACATTCTCTTTATATTTCTTTACTCTATAGTACAAAGTGGTTGGTTTTATATTATATATAGCAGCAGCGGTCCTCAGTTTCATCCTATCATTGATAACACACAATACAGCTCTCTCGGCGTCTTCTTCATTCACATCATTTTCTTTTTTCTTTTTGTAATTTCTTACCATTGTGATTTATATCTGTAAAATAATATAAAATGAACTTATTTCATCATATTCATCAATTATTAAAAAAAAAATAAACATCATTTGTTCAAATAGCGGGGGGCACTTTTGAACATTTTATTCATAACTGCCCCACAGTTTTTTTTCAAATCTGCCCCAATACCATCCTTCAGAAACAAAATTATCTAGACGACCAAGAAACTTGTATTTAATTAACTTATATTCGTAATACACTTGCTATAATATACACAACACTATGAAATAATCAAAACTCGAAAATAATACTTACGTTTTCAGTAATCCGCTTACAATAAAAAATAACAATGTTTGTTTTCGTCTCCGTAAAGTAACCGACCACTTTTATTCTGTTTGACACTGACATTGACGTGAATTGGTGACTGACAGACATGTAGTTCGGTGTTACCAGTATTAAAAAGGTATTGGAGGTTAGGAAAGACAAATAATGCGTTTATAAATCCAATAATTCAAAACTGCCTCTGTTCTAAACTGCCCCCCTCTCCTCTTACAGAAGCTAGATTATAGAGGACTGATTAATGTACCTACTTAGGTAATTACAAAATTACATACGGCATCATTAATAGATTGCGAAACTATTCTATACATTGAAGAATTTAAAGAAGTGCAGAAATCGTCAAATTCCCCTAGTACCGCACGTTTAGTGGGTATTTTTTCCTATTTCGACAGTTTTTCTGCAATAAATTGACAAAAATTAATAATTATAGCTGTGTATTAGCTTTACAAATTACTTAATAATAATGTTTTAAAATTGAAACATCTTCAGAGGGCTTAGTATTCAACACGAGTTCGGAGCTCTGAGGCATTAGTACGAATTTGTTTTATGTTTATAGTAATCAAAACGACTACTAAGCCCTCTGATTGGCCGGCTCCAATAACCCGACCAATCAGTGCCGGACGCGGTCTCGTTTCTATTAGGTACTTTAAATGTAACACAAATTGTCCTCTGGTCTTTTGTTTGTTTACTAACTTTAGCACACAACGAATTATTCAGTGTTCCACATAACGACGATTATTTATAAAAGTCATTCCTCATATTAAGAATAATGTGTGCTCCCTCATCCTGTGTAATCCTTGGCATTATTTCACCCACACTCGAACGCAAACAATTCTCAGAATTATGCTTGAGAGTCATGAAGATGCGTCAAGATAGCACTCGTTTAAGATGGATCGTAGAATGAGATGATACCTAATCTGCGACACGCCTTGAAGATTGCATTATCGATGGCGGCTCACCCAGCATCCGAGGGTCTAATGCGAGTTTGTTCTACGGTAACACGATCGACACGTTTATGACGTTCGGCGCTCTGATTGGCTAGCTCTAATTAACCAACCAATAAGAGGGCTGAACGAGGTAATGTGCTGATTAAGTTAATGTATAAAAAAAACTAGAACTAGGTTTTTAAAAGGTGTTGTCCTTTTACCTTTTACACAAAGACAAGTGTTCCTTCATTTGATATCAATAAAGCGATAATATCCACATTAATATACACTTCTTAGTAACGTGAGCATCTTTAATTACTAGAAATATGTACTTAATCAGGATGTGAAGGTCGTACTGGACAAAATAAAGTCCAAAAAAATGTAATACTAAGTACTGTTATCAATGGCTATCACGCATAGAATGCATGGAGATAAGGATATCGAATACCAACGCCAGGCGCCGCCGGTTGGACGCCGACGCTGTGACGTCACACCCTGATTGTAACTTTCAGTTGAGCAACATGTAGATTGTAGGTACAGTTTATCTATACTTATCAAACAATTATCGGATTATTACCCCTAATGAGACCATATTTCAAATAATGCGAATGTGATAGGAAAGTTATTTTAATTTGACGTTCGGTGGATATCGTTGATTGAACGCTGTTCCGTTTATGGTACCTATATTTACAACGTTTGTTCGTTTTAAAAAGATGTAAACATGTTTTTGTTTACTCAGTCGTTTTGTTATTAGTAAAATGTTCATTTCATATTGCGCCATACATTATGTAATTTATTCAAATAAGCATTTTAATTTGTATCTTCTTGGAAATATTTAAAGGTACCTACGCAATAATCGTTTTATAACCACCCACGACTTCCTAACACTATATTCGGGATTGCCTTAAATATAGGCCACTACCAAGTAGCAACTAGTTGTATACGTCACGACCTATTTCACAATGTTATCTCCGTAAGAGCAATGCTGTATGCAGATAACGAGGCTGGATGAATGACTCAAAATTCCACGAATACCGTGCGTGCCTATAGTTGTAGGGAACAGAGTCCCTTTGTAACCCGATAACAAAACATACTTCATACTGCAAATCATCATATTTGAAAAAAAAACAAAGGAAGTTTTTCTATGACTAATTCAAAGATTCGTAATGTAAAAAATGGTCCCACGTTGGGCGCCAATATCGTAAGCCCTTTTAAGCTTTTTAGGTCATAGGAAGATTTGAAATCTAGAACAAAAGGTACAAATGGCACTTTCATGTATGAAGCGCTCTCAAACACGTGGAATATTTGCCTATCTTAGAGTACTTGACGTATGTTTAACGATATCAAGGATTATCTAGATAAGATATGGTTGCGGTCCGGCGTTTAATCGAAGGTAATGTTGGTTATAAGCGCCCCTGTCGTTGCTGATAGACGTCGTACTATATTGAAATAAATATATATAAAACTGACTAATGGTGTCCTTTCCTTTCCACAACCTACCAGTTAATAATATTTATGCATCTAGGCCCGATGAAAATTTTACGTGCGTTGGATAAATCGGCCCTTAAACTTATTTATTTTTGTTTATGATTTCAAATCTCTTTTGTTCTCTCTGTTATCTGTTTGCAAGCTAGTTCCCCTTGAAACTATAGAAATGACTGAACTAGATTAAACTTAAAGTATTCCTGTACATATCTACTTCATTTTCCACTTCTGTCTGCTATGAACACCTATTTGGAGAGTAAAGGCACACAACTAGAAGAGAAAGCACATTCAAAATCGTATATTTTATTTTAAACTGTATCGCTAAATACAATAATACCTTCTCAACATTCTTCTCAGTTTACAACTGGATTAAACAGGAAACGATTAACTAAATTTAGGACGCCATGTGCTTCGTTTTTGGGCAACATCACTTTCGATAAAGTATTGAACAGGTGGGTTCTATTAATAGAATGGATGGACTTTGTTTCACGATTTTTCCGACTGAAGCACGAGCTGTTTACATGTATTTGTAATCCGATTTTCTCAGTAGTAGATACGTAGTTTCGATAAGAATTTCTTTGGAACAGGACAATAACTCCATTACGCAAAACCATCACTGATTGAATGAAATTATTATGTCAGTTGAGTAATCATTCATTTGCTTGCTATAGTGAACTTAGCAATACATATGTTGACACATACATACATAACCTCAAGCCTGTCTCTCATGGGTACCCCCACAGTACAGTCTCTGCCTGCCAGCAGACTATGGAACGCCAATTGCTACAGGTACTAATATGTTGACTAATTGTAAAATATCTCTTTTTACGGGTTTACCGTAAATGAGCAGACGGATCACCTGATGGTAAGTCATCGGCGTCGCCCATGGACACCCGAAACACTAGAGGCATTACAGGTGCATCTATATTACAAAATATTTGTATGTTTTCCTAAATTATAACACGATTTGAGTCGAATTTGATTATAATTTTATGTGTCCTGATCTCCCCATGAAAAAGAAATGAGTATTGTGAGCGGATAGGTAATGACATAAATTAATCTATAAAATCTAGAGAATACGAAGTGGAATATTTTGCAAGCAACTCTAATTAGACAGTAAAAAAAACCCAAAGATAATGATGATATAGTTGTTTTCCAAGTCATATATCCATAAAATATAAAATCTAGCCATCTATTAGTAGTACCTACCTACATCGATATGAGTCAATACAAACAATGATTAGATGTTCATATGACTATGTATATGACTCAGTCTTATATAAGCGTTTATGTGCATATCAGTAGTTAACTTTGGTTAAAATACCGATATATAATCAATACTTCATCTTTCTTAGGTCTCAGTTTATCCTTTGTTTACGCTTTACTACCTAAAAATACAAACTGAGTGTTTATTTACCTCATGTAGATATGATTTACAGATTTACTAAATAATACATAACAGAAGGTCAATTAATGATACGGTTTGAAATTCAAACATTCAAACTTTGAATGTATATACGTTAAAAATTGATGTTTCTTTTGGAAACAACTAAAACTGAAATGAATGAAGTCGAAAAAATACAAACTTATAGGAATAACTTCGGATAACATCTTTATCAAAGGAAAATTTACCAATTAGTGTTAATTGCGGCGTAATAGATTGAGTACTTGTAGCTAGATAATGTATAATAGCTAGCTAGATAATATGTAAGTGCCTGTAAGTAGGTGAGGCCCATTGTTTTAATATGTAAGAGGCGTCCACGCCAGTTGTAATTGTAATCAACAAGATACCTGTTAACTAAGGTGCGAAGTGCGATAAGGCAAACGCAGACGCTATTTCAAAACTAACAAGCTACACGAGGAAACATATGTAACTGAATTTCTATGAATTTATAGAGCAATTAATTAAAAGTCTGCCGGGCAAAGTATTACAGGGTTTTTAAAAAATCTCAGTGGTAGCAGGGAGTCTGGAAATGTGCCCGGTATATGGCAATAGGCTCACCCCCTATTACATGGGACTCATAACATAAATAGTGAAAAGTGGGTGTTACATTGTACAGTGGCATTAAGTGCCGAAATGTGCACCTCTGCCTACCCCTTCGGGGATAAAAAGGCGTGATGCTATGTTATGTTATACCTAGGGCAATTAAATGTTTACAGTTCTCAAAATCGTTTTTATAGAGAAATTTGTATTTAAGTTAAGATTATCTACAGAGACGACGATGAAATTGAGCGTAGATTTTCACTTACAGGTATAGAGAGAATGTCATTCAAAGACG